ATCCTGGGGTCTGAGCAGACCGGAATTGGCACCTGGGCTGCCAGGAAGGCTTCTTGAAGGAGTGGGACCTGAGGACAGTGAGCCTCAGAAGCTGGGGCGTGGGGTAGGGTGGGCGAAGGCAGGCAGCAGGAGTAGTGGGGCAGACCAAGGGGCATTAGAGCTGTGCAGAGGCAGTGCGGGGCAGTGTCGGAGCATGGGCTGGGCCCAGGGTAAGGGGGCACATGTTGGGGCCAAAACCCACCCCTCTGGCTGTGCCCCTGACAGCCCGGTGCCCACACAGGACAGGTCTGAGGCCAAAGCAGCAGGGAGGAGCCAGGCACCCCGAGTTCCTGGGGAAGGGAGGAAAGGGCTTCCTTCCAGCAACCGGCAGCTGCCAGTCAAGTGCCCAAGGAATGTGGAAACTGCCCAAAGTGGGAGCATCGCACGTGTGTGCACATGCCTGCACACCCGTGGGCTACCCACCTTGCAGCCCTGGGTGTCCACACACCAGGAGAAGTAGGTCAGCAGAGTCACCCGGGATCTCCCTGGAGGGCAAAGGCAAAGAGGCCATGTGCTCATCGGCACCCTGGAGAGAGCCCCAGACTCCATGGGAAACTGGCGACTCCAGCACAGAGGTGACCTTACTGTTCCCTGCTGCATCAAAGCCGTCACCGCAGCGCTCACTGGGGATCCTCTCCACCCAGCCAGTGGGTGGGTGTTTGACAGGAGTTGGAAGGGCTGACCCCTTCCAGCCCTGAAACCAGGGAAGACTATGGTGGGGAGACACCCCCACTTGAGCCCGGTTGTTGGCTGCAGCCAGAAGGGCCCAGTGCTCTCCAGCCTGGAACTGGGACTGCAGAGACTTGGTGATGGTGCCATGGCAGAGTTGGCTTGAGCACAGCAACAGTGGTGGAGGCAACACAGGGGTCTCCATGGGCCTGCCACCATCCCTCCTGAGGGTTTGTGAAATGGGCTGCAGATACTCTCAGGGCATTTATGTGGTATTTCTGATGGACTTCTGGCATATGTTCAGGCTGAACAAGCTAGGAGAGGAAAAGCAGTAGGCAGGGGAAGCTTCTATCAGAACAGGCTTATTCATGAATGGAGGGGAGGGGGCCGAATAGGGGAGAAGGATCCTGAGGAAGCAGAAGGGGCGGGAGCCAAAGCTGAGGTGGGAGGAGAGCTGTGCGCACCCCAGCCAGCTGGGAAAACGTACAGATGGAGCTCCTCCGTCTGGGGCTAGGTGGGAGGCCAGGAAGTTCCCTCCTGATGTTCCTTCGCTCCCTGTGAAGTGGGAGGCTGGGTCGTGCAGAGAGGGAAGGAGAAAGCAGAGGAGGAGAGGAGGTTTGGCTCTGGAAGGGGAGCAGCTGGGCCAGGGTGAAGACATTGGCCTCATGAGGAACTCACCCCTTCTCCAGCCTCTGGCTATGCTCAGCCAGAGAGAACGTAGACCATAGTGATGAGAACACACACACTCTGGGGCAGGCGCCAAGCACTTCTCATCTGTGACCTCGCTGAACCCCCACAGCAACCCAGAAGGAGAAGGTACTCCTGTCCTTCTTACAGATGGGAAATAGAGGCACAGAGACGAAGTAACTTGCCCAGGGCCAACCAGCTAGAAATGACAGAGCTGGGATTCAAACCCAAGTTGTCTGGCTCCAAGTCTGTGCTTTCTCTCGGCCACGGGGGGGTCTTGCAAGGGGTGGTTGCTGAGAGTGTTGGGGATACACCTGGGCCGGAGGTAGAGGAGAGTGAGGTGAGCAGAGGAAGCACCCAGGAGGCAGGATCCGGGGCTCAGCTTCTGGAGGATCCAGTGCTGGCCTCTCCCGCTGGCGTGCACACCAGCACACGTGTGCATGCACATACTCCTGGGGGCTCAGGCCCCCGGTCTGATCCTCTCCCCATTAGACAAGAAATGCAGGCCCCAGAAAGGCATTCACCGTTGCCAAGGCCTGGGCTCTCCCCACAGCAGCTCTACACTCCGACCCCACCCAGCACCATCTGCACACAAACTCAGTACCTCAAGGGGGTGGGTGCACCCAGCTTGCATGGACTTTGAAGGAGTCAGTCAGGCCTTGAATGTGGAGGGGGAGGGAGGGGCAGCTCTCCTTGAGACAGGCGCTCTGCCCTCCTGTCTGGGCGCCCAGGCAGGGCTATGTGCACCTGAGGGGGGCTGCGCTGTCATCTGTGGCCAGTTGGGAATGATAAAGCTGTGGTGGGTGCGTGGCCACATCTGCACCATCCTGCCTGAGTTTTCTGAGACTCTGTAACTGAAGTTTTTGATACGGTGACCTTGCCTTCCCCACCCCCAGCCTTATTTTCTCTATAGCTTGTATCACCTTTCCTCATAACGTATAATTCATCTGTTTACTGTGTTTATATCCGTCTCCTCCTAGGGCGTAAGTCCCATGAGCAAGGTTCTTCCCCATTTATTCGGGATGCTGTCCGCAGGGCTCTGAGCAACACCTGGCCCACAGCAGGTGCTGGTCAGCACTGTGGTTGGGACCACTCGTGTGAACTCAGTCCGTGGCTTGTCTCTGTATCCTTATCACCACTGACACTTGACAGTATGAGACAAATAGGCTGGCAGGACCCAAGTTGGGACTCAGGGGCAGCGACTATTTTGGGGATGCTGGCTCAGCCGGGTCCTGATGCCCTGGAGAAGGGTAATTCTTCAGCAACGAAGATGCTGTCGTCCCCTCGTGGCCGTCGTGGGCCTGGCATCTGCCCGCAGCCCCGGGGATCCTGGGTACTGGGGAGGAGAAAAGTAGGTGGGGGACTTCCGGCCAAGATGGAGGCGTAGGCAGACACACTGTGCCTCCTCGAACAACCAAAATAAGGACAACAATTTAGAAACAAAATAACAACTAAAACTGAGAGAAAATTGAACTATATGGAAGTCCAAGGGATTAAAATAGACACATTCATCCAGACCAGTAGGCAGGGCGGAGAGGGGTCACGGCACAGGAAGCGGTGACACCGGGTGCACAAGGCACCCTGGGCACGCAAGGCAGCAACGGGAAGACCCTGGGCACCCAGGTGGCGACTGGCAGACCCAGAGCGTGGGGTGGCAATGGGCAGACCCAGCAAGGCGGCAACTGAGAAGCAGGGTACTGTGTGCAAGGTGGCTGGATGACCAGGCAGCAGTCCCACATTCACGCGCAGATAACTGGTGGGCAAGACATACCGCGCAACCCAGGGTCCTAGTGCTGGAAAATAAAGCCTCAAAACACCGATTGAAAATACTTGTGGGGGCTGACACACAGGGAGAGACTTCAACCCTCACAGGAGTTTGTTGGAGAGACCCACAGGGTCCTAGAACGCACATAAGCCCACCCACATGGAGTCAGCACCAGAAAGGCCCAGTTCACTTGGGGGAAGCAGCAGAAGGGACGGAGGTGCAACAGAGAGCAGAGCAAATGCCACTTTTTTTTCCCTCTCTGACCCCACCCCCATACAGCATCTCAACCCAGCGACTTGGGTGGCCCCGCCCTGGTGAACACCTAAGGCTCCACTTCTCATACATAATAGGTGCAAACAGACCAAAACATTATGGCTCAAGCAGAAAAACAGCTCAAAGCCCCAGAGCCAATACTTCTAAGCGACAAAGAGATAGCCAACCTATCAGATGCACAGATCAAAACACTGGTGATCAGGATGCTCACAGAACTGGTTGATTTCAGTCACAAATTAGAGGAACATATGAAGGCTAAACTAAGTGAAATGAAGGGAAATGCACAGGAAACCAATAGTGATGGGAAGGAAACTGGGACTCAAATCAGTGGAGTGGACCAGAAGGAAGGAAGAAACATTCAACCAGAACAAAATGAAGAAACAAGAATTCAAAAAAATGAGGAGAGGCTTAGGAACCTCCAGGACATCTTTAAATGTTCCAACATCCGAATTCTAGGGGTACCAGAAGGGGAAGAGGAAGAGCAACAAGAGGAAAACTTATTTGAACAAATAATAAAGGAGAACTTCCCCAATCTGGCAAAGGCAATAGACTTCTAGGAAATCCAGGAAGCTCAGGGAGTCCCAAAGAAGTTGGACCCAAGGAGGAACACACCAAGGCACATCATAATTATATTAGCCAAGATTAAAATGAAGGAGAGAATCCTAGAAGCAGCAAGAGCTAAGGAGACAGTAACCTACAAAGGAGTTCCCATCAGACTGTCAGCTGATTTCTCAAAAGAGACCTTACAGGCAAGAAGGTGCTGGAAAGAAGTATTCCAAGTCATGAAATCTAAAGACCTACAGCCAAGATTGCTCTATCCAGCAAAGCTTTCATTTAGAATGGAAGGACAGACTTCCGCCAAGATGGAGGCATAGGTGGGAACACTTTTCGTCCTCGCACAACCAAATCTAAAAACTAATAAAGTTTTAACAACAATAAACACAACCAAACCACACAGAAAATCGAATACAGAGTCTGAAAATAACAAACCGCTCAGCTAAACCGGTGAGAGGGGTGAAGCCAGCAGCGAAGCAGGTCGGGCAAAATAAAAGGACAGATAAAGTGCTTCTCAGATAAGGTCAAGTTCAAGGAGTTCATCATCACCAAGCCCTTATATGAAATGTTAAAGGGACTTATCTAAGAAAAAGAAGATAAAAAACGTATACTAAAATGACAACAAACTCACAATTACAACCACACCTAAAATAAAAAACTAAGCAAACAACTAGAACAGGAACTGAACCACAGAAATGGAGATCATATGCAGGGTTAGCAACAGGGGAGTGGGGGGGAGGTACAGAGAATAAGCATAGATGGCAGGCAGAAAATAGACAGGGGGAGGGCAAGAATAGTAGGGGAAATGTAAAAGCTAAAGAACCTAAGACACATGGACATGAACTAAAGGTGGGGAATGTGGTGGGAGAGGGAGTGTAGGGTGGAGGGGAATGAAGGGGGGAAATGGGACAACTGTAATAGCATAATCAATAAAATATATATTTTTAAAAAGCACATGGGGGAGGGGGCCCTGGCCTGACGTCACACGCCATGCCACACCTCCTCACAACAGGGAGAAGATGAGTGTGGGCTGCCCGGAGCCCGACCCGCCCCGCTCCCTGCCCTGCTGTGGGCCAGGGACGGCCCCTGGACTGGGTGCAGGCGTGCCGCTCCTCACCGAAGACATGCAGGCGCTGACCCTCCGCACGCTGGCCGCCAGTGATGTCACCAAGCACTACGAACTGGTCCGGGAACTGGGCAAAGGCACCTATGGGAAAGTTGACCTGGTGGCATACAAGGGCACAGGTGAGTACCTGCAGGGTGGCTGGTTTTAAGGCTTGAGTAGAGAGTTAGCTGGAGCTCTCAGGTGCTCTCTGTGGGGTCCAGGAGGCAGAGTCAGTGGTCCGGGTGAAGAGGATGCAGCTTGAATAGCCCAGAGAGGAGGAGACCAGATAGATGGAATGAAGGAGGAATCTAGGGGCATAGTGCCCAACTTGGATGCTTTGGGAATGTCCGGGTTACCTTTGGGACACCCAAGGGAGTACACCAAGGACATTTGGAGCTCAGGAGGAGGTCAAGGTCAGGGCTGGTTGTGGTGTTTGGAGAATCACCAGCATATCAGTGATAGCTGACCCAGGGCCACGGACAGAGCTGTGAGTCCTCCAGAACAGGGCACCGTGTTTCATGGAGGTGGGGGTGACCCTGTGAGAACAGTGTGGCCATCTCCATTTCTCAGGGGAGAACGCTGAGACCCAGAGAGTCAGTCACTTGGCCAAGGTCACCCAGAGGGTTTGAGCTAGGACGAGACCCCAGTCATCAGCTTCAGAGCCTTCTCACTTAACCATGGAGCTTGATGTCTTCCCCATACTGTAGGCTCACAGCAGTGCCCACTCAGTCAATCAGAGATGGGGTCTGCATGAGCTCCCACATCTGCACACACCTGGAGCAGGGGGCTCTGCCCGAACTGAAGGTGACAGGAAGCACTGGACATGGGTCACCTGTTTGCCACTTGCTTGCTGTGTGACCTTAGGCAAGTGACTTATCCTCTCTGTGCCCAAGTTTCCTCTTCTGTAAAACAGGATAGCCTTAGTGCCCAGCTCATAGGGTCACTGTGAGGAGTGAGTTGTGAGTGTGAATTCCTAAGGGCAAGGCCTGTGATTGTAAGTGCTCTGTGGACACACAGGCGCGTGTCACACAGCCGCAGACCCGGATAGGTACAGGTGCCTGCCCAAGCAGAGTCAGGGATATGTGCTGTGCAGGCCCTCGCCTCTCAGTGTCTAATTCCTTCTTATTCATTCGCCCATTTAACAAACATTTGTTGAGCACCTGCTGTGCACCAGACTCACAGGCACGGGAGAGGCAGCTATGAGCGAGACAGAGGGCCCTGTGCTCAGGAAGCCCTGCTGCAGTTGATGGAGGCAGACAGGTGAACGCCCGTGGCCTGCCAGGGAGAAAGTGAGAAGGGAGGGGAGGCAGCAGGCCTTCTCCTTGAGGCTCGCAGGCTGGGTGCAGAAGACCCAGGCTGGGCCCTGCTTGATTGCATGTCCTTTGCCAAGGGCTCTCCTCTCACTGGGTCATGCCCACTGGGACCCCTGGCGTGCCTTGTGCCTGACAGGCATGGGTATGTGTCAGGTGCAGAAGGGCAGGGAGAGGGGACCTTCACCACTGTTGCCCTGCCAGGCACGAAAATGGCGCTGAAATTTGTGAACAAGAGCAAAACGAAGCTGAAGAACTTCCTGCGGGAGGTGAGCATCACCAACAGCCTCTCCTCCAGCCCCTTCATTATCAAGGTCTTCGACGTTGTGTTTGAGACCGAGGACTGCTACGTCTTTGCCCAGGAGTATGCGCCCGCCGGGGACCTGTTCGACATCATTCCCCCTCAGGTACTTGGGGTGGCAGCTGACGGAGGGGAGATGGTCTTCCAGGGCCCCAGTGTGAGAGTTGGGGTGAAGTCAGGGCACTGGTTTAATTCGTGAGCATTTATGAGTCACTGGAGGCCTGGGGATTCACCGTGAGCAGGACAAAGGTCCTGCTGTGGTCCTAGTGGAGGACACAGGCTAAGCTGTGCACTGGGGGAACGGCCAGATGATGGATGAAGTCCAGCAGTCGCTTCCGCTGCAGCTACAAACGACTGGGTGGGGACACCAGAAGGGAGGCAGAAGGGCCACCAGTCTTCTCAGAGAAGGTGCCCTGGGTAGGGAGAGTGCCAGGAGGATCCCAGGCACCCAGCTTTGCAGCTAGCCGGCGCCAGGTTTGAGTATGCTCTGCCACCTGCGGAGTAAGTGACAAAGCCTCTCGCAGCCTCAGTGTCCCCTACAAGAGAAATGGGCATAATAGGGAGCCCCTGTGAGGAGTTGCTGAGACGGTGCAGGGTAGGGGGCTTAACACAGCACCTGGCCCGTGGTGGGTGCTCGGTACCGTCACTGCAGTCCCTGGGGGAAAGGAGCCAGACCGAGGAAGATGCCCTGGTGGTGAGGGAGGGCAGCCGGTGCTGTTAGGGGCACGGGGCACGAACACCGGAGAGGCCAGGCCCTGGCTGGAGGTGGGACAGGTGTGGCAGCACTGGCAGCAGGCAGAGGGTGGGGGGAGGGGGGAGGGGCGGGCGGCCCTGAGCCTGCCCCCTTCTCTGGCCCCAGGTGGGGCTCCCGGAGGACACGGTGAAGCGCTGTGTGCAGCAGCTGGGCCTGGCACTGGATTTCATGCACGGGCGGCAGCTGGTGCACCGGGACATCAAGCCTGAGAACGTGCTGCTGTTCGACCGTGAGTGCCGCCGCGTGAAGCTGGCTGACTTCGGCATGACGCGCCGCGTGGGCTGCCGCGTGAAACGGGTCAGCGGCACCATCCCTTACACGGCGCCTGAGGTGTGCCAGGCGGGCCGCGCGGACGGCCTGGCCGTGGACACCGGCGTGGACGTGTGGGCCTTCGGCGTGCTCATTTTCTGTGTGCTCACCGGTAACTTCCCGTGGGAGGCGGCCTCCGGAGCTGACGCCTTCTTCGAGGAGTTCGTGCGCTGGCAGCGTGGCCGCCTGCCCGGGCTGCCGTCCCAGTGGCGCCGGTTCACAGAGCCCGCCCTGCGCATGTTCCAGCGGCTGCTGGCTCTGGAGCCTGAGCGGCGTGGCCCGGCCAAGGAGGTCTTCCGCTTCCTCAAACACGAGCTCACCTCTGAGCTGCGGCGCAGGCCCTCGCACCGCGCACGCAAGCCCACGGGGGACCGCCCGCCGCCTGCAGGGCCGCTGCGCCTGGAGGCGCCCGGGCCGCTCAAGCGCACTGTGCTGACGGAGAGTGGCAGCGGCTCCCGACCCTCTCCCCCAGCCGTCGGGCCAGTGCCGGTGCCTGAGGCCGGTCTGGCCCCCCCAGGGCCCCCAGGCAGGACCGATGGCCGCCCGGACAAGAGCAAAGGGCAGGTGGTGCTGGCCACGGCCATCGAGATCTGCGTCTGAGCCATCCTGCTGCTCTGGCGCAGGGGGCTGAGGGTTGGTTGCTGCGCACGCAGCAGGGCTGGTTGCTGGAGCCACCCTGGGCCCGTGCCAAGCTGGTGGTGGAGGCAGCAGCAACATGGACCAGCCCCGAGGGAGTGGTGGTAGATTAGGCAGGAAGGCAGCCCAGGCACCCATCCGTTCAAGGGGCTGGGGACATGGCCACCAAAAGGCCTCTGGCCTGGCCTGTGGGGCAGGGGCTTGGCCCACAGGAGCCAAGCCCCACAGACCTGAGGATTCAGAGCCCCCCCCCCCCAGCGCCCTCCCTCCCCAGGAGCATGGAGCTTATGGGTGGACTCCCAGCAGCTCCCTGAACCCTGGAACCCTGACTAGTTGCTCCCAGCCCTTTGCACCTCCTGGCAGATGATCCCACAGTCCCACCCTAGGTCCTGTCCTCCTGCCCCCCACCCACCCACCCTGGACACAGACAGGGCCTGAAGTGTTGGAGCAGAGAAGGGGCTTAGGGGCCCTGGGCACTGGCTGGGAAGAGGACGGTGAGCTGAGGGCAGTGTTGCCCCGCTGCCTCCTGCTGCTTCCCTGGGAGGCTGGAGGGGAGAGGCTAAGACCCCTGCAAAATGTAGCAAATGTCTGGATGTTGCAAAAGTGTGTGTGTGTATCTGTGTATGTGCAGGCACGGGCCCTGGGAATCTAGTGACACCCTCCAACCCATCCCGCCGTTGAGAATGCTGAGCCCATGAGGAGGACAGCTTGCCTTGGCCCACACCCACTGAGAGATGAAGCTCTGGGAGTCCTCACCCTCCTCCCCAGGGACTGAAGGGCTCCCAGGGCAGGGGAGTGAGTGCAGAGCCCAGGGCGCACCCAGCTCCCCTGCTCGCCACACCTTCCCCAGGCCCAGGGAACTGCAGATCCTCCGTCCTTGCTGCCTGGCCCAGACAGCGTCCTGGCGTTTGGCAGGCTGTGAAGTGATTTGTGCCAGAAATCTCCCCTGGGTTTCTGCTGGGGTCAAAGCTGTCAGTCAGTCTCGGGCTGACCCTGTCCCCACATCTCCCGCATCTCTGGCCCTGGCGTGTGATGCTATGGGTATGAGAACAGGGCTGCTGAGGAAGTGTGAGGGCAGTGAGTGTGTGATGGGTGTGTGTGTGTGTGTGTGTGTGTGTAGCCTTGTGTGTTGATGCCTCAGTAACTCTGCCCTGTCCCCGGAGTCTCACCTGGCAGCTGCCAGAGGGTGTGCAGGCCTGCTTTTCACCACACCCCTCAGGGAACCCAGCCAGGAGGCACCTGCAGGTTGGGTCAGGCCCCTCGGCAGACAAACAAAGGGGAGGGGCCCAGCCTCACCCAAGGCTCCCTCATGCGCCCTGCCCTCTCTGGGGGAGCAGGACCCCGCAATAACCTCAGCATGGGTGAGACTGCTCCCTCTGCCTGGCAGGGCGCCATCTGCCATCCCTCCGGCCGGGGTCCCTTCTGGGGCTCTAGGCCATTTGAGGGGCTCCTTGAAGGGCCAGGCTGACCACAGGAGCCCAGACCACCCTCTGGCCTGAGCCTCCACCTCTCTCTTCACCCTTCATTCCTATCATGCAAAAGGGCTATAGGTCCCCTGCCCTGCCTGGGTCCAGTTTACAAACAGGTTGCCCCCGGGCCTGGCCCCCTCCTCGGTGTGCCGCCCCTCTCAAGACCCACCTCTCCAGCAGGCACTGGGGCCTCCACATGCCAGGTAAGTAGCAAATCCCTCCTTTCACCAAGGGCCAAGGCCCCCATCACTGCCCCTGGCCCCACTGACGCCCACCTGGGCACCTCTCCCAGCCGCAACTTCTCCTTTTGCCTTAGGCCTTTTGACATCCTGTCTCCTGCAATAACAAAGGAAGTGAGATTCCAAGTAGATGTCTCTGGAGAGTGATCTCTCTCTCTCTCTCTCTCTGTATCTCTCTGTCTCTGTTGAGATCCATGTCTTAGTAGCTAGGATTTTAGAGTCGGGAAGGGACTGTAGTTACGTAGCCCAGCCACTTCCAGAGGCACAGGTGGTGGTGGCGATGGCCCGACTCAGAAGCAGGGCCGGGACCAGGCTGCTCCTTCGCAGCGGGGCCTCGCCTGCGCTGCCACCGCCTCTGCCGGTTGGGCTGGGACCCTTTGCCCCTTAGGACAGGTGTTGGTCACAGGTGTTTACCTCAGTTTATGTCACTGTCGAAGAAACAAAAAAATAAATAGCAAAACGTTAATAACACCGTAGACATGAAGACTTAGAAAACAAAAAATACACAAAAATATCCTCCCCTTGCCATTCTGTGAAGTGTGTGTGCACATGCGTACGTGCACATGTGTGCAAGTCTGTCCCACCCTGGGGGGCTGTGGCCCCTGTGCCCCCCGCACTGCCCCCTGTCCTTTGGTGCTTCCCAGAGGCCCCTCTGAGCTGGCCCGGGGGGTGTGGGGAGCCCCTTGGGCAGGAGGCAGGACCACAAGTAGCTAGAGGGTCTCCCACCAGGTCCCTGTGCAGAGTCTCAAAGCTGCCGATGCTCCCCAAGCCCCACACTGGCTGACGGGACAGGTGTGGCAGCTGGCATCGGCGCCAGGCCGGCTCAGGGCCGGTGGCGTCCCGGCCTCGTGGGTTGACGCCCCACCCACCATGAGTCTGTAAATACTCTGGCACCCTTTGGCCCTGAGGAGGTTTTTAAATGTGTTATTTACTTCTCTAATCATGACAATTGCTATAAAATAAACGAAAACTTAGAAAAACTACCACCGAGTGGCTGTCTTGTCTCAGGGGCAGGGGCAGAAGGAGGCTTGCGGAGTCACTCTGGACAGAACCTGGCAGATGTTCTAAGGTGGGGTCTGCAGAGCTGGGGCGGCCCCCGCCCGGGCCTGAGCCTGAAGCCAACAGAGCAAGGATCCAGGCTGGGGGGGGGCGGGGGGGGGTTGTCCCTGGCCTGGAGTCTGCCACCACACAGTCCCTCACCTGCCTGTGGCAGTAGCTCCTCACCCTGCTCCCTCTCCTGAGCCCCTTCAGGCTCTTCTCAGCAGCCAGAGTGAGTCTTTTCACAGGTAAGACCAGTCATTGTTTGAAACCCTGCAATTCGTCCTCTTCCACCCAAATGAAAGCCAAAGCCAAAGCCGCGATGGCGGCCTCCGAGGCCCCAGACCCGCCGTGCTGGCCTCTGGGACAGCCGCGACGCTCTCGCTCAGCGCCTGCCCCAGTCTCGGGCTCTCCCAGACCTCCCCAGGGCCCTCCCTGTGTGGCAGGGTAGTAAGAAGCTGGGGAATCTCCTTGACAACTGGAATAAGGAAAACAGATAAAATAATTAAACAAGGCCAAACCATCTGAGCAATTTACAGCCAGCTAGTGAATCACACGGTTTTATTTTCCCTAAGCAAGGACACTTGAGAGCAAATGGTTTACACATTCCAGACCGTCCTGAGGTGGACCAGCCTTGGTCCCTTTTGATAACATTCTTTGAAGGTAAAACTAACCAGAAAATAACCTTGACCCCTCTGTACGCACATTTTAAATAATCAGCATAACAAGGACACGCCTGGAAAGCTAATGCGTGTTCTGCTAAGCCCCTCCCCTGAGACCTCTCCCAGGGTTGCTGGTGGCCAGAGAAAGATAGAAACCCTCTAGACAGGGACCTAGAGCAGAGCCGTCAAACTCACTTTCACCGAGGGCCGCATCAGCCTTGCAGTTGCCCTCAAAGGGTGGAATTTAATTTCAACTCCTAACTGTTAAGGAGTAGTTCCATTTATACAGTCCTAAAATTATTTCAGCCCTTTGAAGGCGACTATCATACTTGCAACCAAGGGAGCAGTGGGCAGCAGCAGCTCTTCCCAGGCTAACCCCCCCCCCAACCTGTCTCCGAGGCCCCCTTTCCTCTGACTTTCCAGGGAGCTAAAAGCAGCCCTGCCTTGGCTCACTTCCCGCAGTGTTTCCAGAAAGCCAAAGCAGTCCCGCCTGCACACTCTCCTGTTGCTTCTTACCTTTAGCCCTTGCTTTAATAAACATACTCTCAAAATCACCTGGACTTGTGTTATGAAATCTTCACTGCACAAAGTCAAGGACACACACGCTACCGGCCAGCCCACAGCAGACTCACTCGGGCGGTCCTGTCTGGTAACACCCGCTCACACGTCAACTTCCTGTGCTCTGCAGGGTGCAGAAGCCCCTCGCCCTGCTTCATCCCACCCGGACATTCCGCGCCGCTCGCAGCGCCGTGCGTCTGTTCTCTGCCTGACGCCACCGGAATGAAAGTGCTGTAGAACGGTCAGTGTTGGCCGAATGGCTACTCCCCTCCTCACCCCCATGCCTCGCATGGGCCTGGCATGTGACAGGCCCTCCGTAACAATTTGTCAAATAAATGAGTGAATGCTCAGTAATACTACTTTAGGGGCCAAAAATAGATCTATAAACAAGACGAACGATCTGCCTGCTAAAGCTTACTTTCTAAAGAGGAAAACAGGCATTAAAATAGGTTACATAATAATCTATGAAATAGGAGTTGGGTTAAAAAAAAGGAGACAAAAAAATATTTCCCACAGACCAAATCAGAAGTACTCCTACCCAGGAACTTGATCTGAACAGTTATTTCGAAAACTTCTGCAATTGTCTGCCATGAGGTTGGACCCCTGGAGTCAGTAATCCCTTTCCTTAGCAGAGCGCTCACGGGTGGAAGGAAAATCTACAAATGCACATACTATCTATCACTGCTTCCCTGCTTGGTGTACAAATATCACCTCTTTATAAAGTCTCCAGGCTTCCAGTCAAGATGGTGACATAGGCAGACATGGCTGGCCTCTTCCCACAGCCACATCAAAATTACAATAAAAATATAGAACCACCATCACTCAGGAATGTCAGTAATCGAGTTGAACGGACGTCTGACAACTACGGAATGAAAGAAACTGCGTCCATCCAGACAGGTAGGTGGGGCACGGATGCAGAATGGACTGGTCCCTCACCCACATGGATAAAAATTCAGAATGGATATCTTGAAATTGAGGAATCTCAGCCCCACACCAGGCCCCCCAGACCAGGGTTCAGTGCCAGGAAGATTAGTCCCCACAACCTCTGGCTCTGAACAGCAGCAGGGATTGAGTCAGTGGGGGAGTTCTGCTGGAGCCCTAAGCATTTCCTCTGGGGGAACCCACACACTGACTCACCCCTACTCAGACTCACTACCTCTGGGCTCCAGCACCAGGGTCTGAAGGGCACTGGTGATATATAGGCAGAGATTGAAGTGTCTGGTATCAGAGCAAGCAGAGACCATTGTCCCTTTACTGAGCTCTCCCTGCCACAGAGCAGGTGGGCTGGTGCTGTATCTGAGACTCCATCAACCTGGCTAACACTGTGTGACCCACCTTGGAGATCCTCAGAGGCTCCACCCAACCCAATATACCGGCCCACCCAAGGTGCTTTTCCATAAGAATGGCTGGTCTTGGCTCCTTAATCCTATCAAACAAACAACAGCTGGCTTCAGTGAGCCCTAGCAGCAGCCAGAGTAGAGTCACAGCTTGATTTCACCTGGGGAATCTCCAAGCCCAGCATAAGTACCTGCCTTCTCAGATTGCTTTACAGCTCAGGCAGGATGGCCCCTGGCGAAACACAGGTGGGGGCTGACCTTGGCCTGTACCACCCTGGAAACCGCAGGGTCAGTGCACCCAGTGGACAGCTACAGACCACATCAGAGCACCGCCACCCTGCCCCTGCACAGCTGATCCTCCACAGACAGCGGAGGGTGGTGGTGAGTGGTCCTTGCCGCTGACAGGCCTGGGTAAATCCCTCCCAGTGATCTGCCCACAGCAACCAAGGCTCAACTACAAGAGGAGGGTGTACTCAGCCCACACGAATGGCACACCTCAAGTACTGAGCTTGGGTAATAGGGGAGGCTGTGCCACTCGACCCTACAGGACACGTACTACATTAGGCCACACTACCAAGACATGGAGTCAAAGCAGCTCCATCTAATACACAGAAACAAACACAGGGAGGCTGCCAAAATGAGGAAACAAAGAAACATGGCCCACATGAAAGAACAGATGAAAACTCCAGAAAAAGAGCTAAACAAAATAGAGATAAGCAATCTAGCAGATGCAGAGTTCAAAAACATTGTTTATAAGGATGCTCGAGGAACTTAGTGAGGACCTCAGCAGCTTAAAAAAGACCCAGTCAGAAATGAAGAATATACTAATTGAAATAAAGAACAATTTACAGGGAAACAATAGTAGAGTGGATGAAGATGAGAATCAAATCAATGATATGGACCATAAGGAAGCAAAAAACAACCATGCAGAATAACAAAATGAAAAAAGAAGTCTAACATTCACCTTATAGGGCAGCCAGAAGAAGAAAAAGAGCAAAAAAATTGAGATCTATCTGAAAAAAATAATGAAAGAAAACTTCCCTAATTTGGTAAAGAAAATAGACACATAAATCCAGGAAACACAGAGTCCCAATTATGATGGCTGCGAAGAGGCCCACTTCAAGACACATCATAGTTAAAAAGCCAAGTTTAAAGATAAAGAGAGAATTTTAAAAGCAAGAGAAAACTAGTTGCCAGAAGGTAGCCAGATGGGAGCAGGGAGGGGGAGGGTGGGTGAAGAGGTGAGGGGATTAAGAAGTACAAACAGGTAGTTACAGAATAGCCATGGGGATGTAAAGCACAGTACAGGAAATGGAGTAGCCAAAGCACTTATAACCAGGGCCGTGAACAATGGTGGGGGAATTGCCTAAGGGAGTAGGGGGGCAAAGGGGGAAACATCAGGACAACTGTAACAGCATAATCAATAAGATATAATATAAAAAAGACTTCCCGATAAAGTTTCAAAAAAGAAAAAATAAATAAATAATAAATTTTAAAAGTAAAAAAAGTCCCAATGTAGTCAGAGAACGCCGGCACTTACCACTAGGGGGCCTCAGTTTTCTGCTGCTTTTGCTTCTGCTTGCCCGGCGACAGCACTGCTGACCTCAGGCATTCTCTATCTAGCGTGGCGATTTTCAACCTTTGTCATTTCACAGCACACGTAAACTGATGACTAAAATTCTGCAGCACACCAAAAAATATAGTTTTTGCTGCTCTGACAAATAAAATAGGTATAATTTTGACTCTTTCACATAGGACAGCTATTTTTGTGTTGGCTGTTGTAATTTTTCTATTTGACGATCTAAGGGAAAAGAGGTCAGTCAGTGTCCGTGACTAAATAAGTAGTCAGGTGTTGCATGTTTTGACAATTCTTGTGGCACACTGGTTGAAAGTCGCTGCTCTAGGGTGATAAAGCCATCTTCCTTCCAGGCCAAAGGGGCTTGACCTGAAGGGTTGGTTTCCAGCTCACCCACACACTATGTCAGAACCAACTCCTGTAACCCCTTAGGTCCTTCCATTTTGCCTGAGTCACCTGCCCTTGATCACCGAGAGTTCCTCCTTGAGGGCACTTGGTGACCTTTCCTGCCCATAGTCTTCTTCAGGCTAGAGTAACTCAGTCCACCAAAAAGGTACCTAGAGCATTGAACTGCAGAAGGGAAGGGATTGTATGCCTTTAAAAAAAAATTTTTTTAGAAGAATTCATTTGAGCCAAATTGACAACATGCTGGGGAGCAAGACCTAAAATGCTCTGGAGATTGTTTTCTTGATAACTTTGGATTACTTGAGCCCTGTGCAAAATTTCCCAACTCCTCCCCATGATGGCTAAGCGTGCCAAGACCAGGGATGCTGGAAGGGGCAGCCTCAGAGGTCCCGCCGCACCGTTCACAC